CCTCCAGTCAGCAGGACCAGAGGTTGCAGTGGAGCCGGAGCTGCTGCTTCCGCTGCTGCAAGAGGAGCAGCAGGTGCAGCTGGGATGCCCCCCCCCCAGATTTCCCCACACCCCACCAACCAAAATTTTCTGGCCACGTCCCTGTATTGAATCTCTCCTTAAGGATAGAATTAGCCAAGGTCTGAAAGAAAAGACTCAAAATGCACAGAGTGTTGTAGATAAAATTAAATCTTTTTATTTGCATGTTAAGTTGTCTGCATTTACAAAAAAACCCCAAAATTCGTCTTGGTTGGATATAATTTGGAAGAGAATTGTAGTTTCATTGGAACAGTTATTACAGCTTGTCTTGTATAATAAGATAAAAGACCAACAAGATTTCCAGGGGAGAAGCTATTTGACAAAGGAAGCTTGGACTCTCGAAAGCTTATACCTTGGAAATTTTGTTGGTCTTTAGGGTGCTAGTGGACTCCAATCTTACACCATTGATCAGTATTGCAGAGAGTAATCCTTATTAGGCCTCCTCAGAATCCTACTCAGGTCTATTCAGAGGGGCTCACTCCCAGCAAAGTGTCTTCAAGATTGCACTGTTAGCACTCCATATTCACAAGGAAGTTACTCTTGAATCGCAAACGTGTGCGTACAATATGGCGGCTCACTTCATCTCTCTCTCTCCCCCCCCCCCCCACTCACCTCTGTTGCCTTGCAGAACGACACGGATTAAAAGAACCAAAGAAAGTGCATGAGCTATGCAACAAGATCATGAGTGGCTTGAAAGATCACTTAGCCTTCAGCTGCCGGAGCAAAGGGCCGCCTTTCGAGCCCGCAGACGAGTCGAAGGTCCTGGGGGTGCTGGCTGACTTGCGCTCGCTCTGCACGTTAGGACTGCAACGGATCTTTTACCTGAAGCTGGAGGATCTGGTGCCGCCCCCCTCCATCATCGACAAGCTATTCCTGGACACCTTGCCATTCTGAGGGTTTCCGGGGCCGTAGGGGAAGGGGACTGTTTCCCAGATCAGGCAAAGGGATTGGGACTGACTTGCTGACAGTGCTGCTCCCATTTAACCGGGGGTGGGTGGGAATCCAAGGATTTCCTGCTCTACACGGTGGACTTTTCCTAATGCATTTCCTTGCAAACTGAGGCCTAAAACATGACTTAACAGTTTTGGAGATAGGGAATTGGGGGGGGAGGGAAGCTGAGTGCTGTTTGGGGTTTGGATTTTTTTTAATGGCTAATATGGCACTTTGGAACGACGCTACCCCAGCAGGGAAAAAAATATAAAAATAAAGATGTTAATAGGACTGTTTAAAATCTATTGCATCCTCTGTGGTGAATAGACAATTGTAGATGCTGTGTGTTTTGAAACCAGGAACAACTACAAACTCCCTCTCCCCCCCCCCCCACTCACCTCTGTTGCCTTGCAGAACGACACGGATTAAAAGAACCAAAGAAAGTGCATGAGCTATGCAACAAGATCATGAGTGGCTTGAAAGATCACTTAGCCTTCAGCTGCCGGAGCAAAGGGCCACCTTTCGAGCCCGCAGACGAGTCGAAGGTCCTGGGGGTGCTGGCTGACTTGCGCTCGCTCTGCACGTTAGGACTGCAACGGATCTTTTACCTGAAGCTGGAGGATCTGGTGCCGCCCCCCTCCATCATCGACAAGCTATTCCTGGACACCTTGCCGTTCTGAGGGTTTCCGGAGCCGTAGGGGAAGGGGACTGTTTCCCAGAGCAGGCGAAGGGATTGGGACTGACCTGCTGACAGTGCTGCTCCCATTTAACCGGGGGTGGGTGGGAATCCAAGGATTTCCTGCTCTACACGGTGGACTTTTCCTAATGCATTTCCTTGCAAACTGAGGCCTAAAACATGACTTAACAGTTTTGGAGATAGGGAATTGGGGGGGGAGGGAAGCTGAGTGCTGTTTGGGGTTTGGATTTTTTTTAATGGCTAATATGGCACTTTGGAACGACGCTACCCCAGCAGGGAAAAAAATATAAAAATAAAGATGTTAATAGGACTGTTTAAAATCTATTGCATCCTCTGTGGTGAATAGACAATTGTAGATGCTGTGTGTTTTGAAACCAGGAACAACTACAAATTGTTCATCAGGGTAGTCTGTTTTACAGTTTATACCTTTTAGCATACTTCCCGGACAAAGGGCACTTTTATGCTGGCACAAGTTAAAAATGTCCCCTTGCTCTCTTTTCCCCCCCTTTTTCTAAAAAATATTCTAACAACGTTGGTTCACAATTTCGTACAAAATCAGATTATAGCAAAACGACAATGGCTGTTAGCCCCCACCCCCCGTGGTCAAGTGCAATTTTTTTAAAAGTGCTGTCTTACTAAGTCTCGTTTATTAACTATAATTTATTTTAATATGAAAATGAAAACAAAAAGAAATAAAAGTGAGGAGGAGGGGGGAAAGTAACTTTTTTTTTACATGCACTAACTTCCAGGACAAAGTTTTTCCCAAACTTTGGATCAATGTAGCATGACTTACTGACAAGCATTTGTAGAAAGTGAGGGGCAGAAGCCATTTGTGACGGGGGCGGGGAGGTCACCTGGGCTGATTGAGGAAAGAAGAGTGCATAAGTGACTGGAGCGGACAGGGTACGTCAGGTTTTAGAATTTAGCAAATTGGTTAGTAAACTGATACAAGACCATGTGGAAGAACAGTCTTGTAAAAAAGAAGAAGAAGAAGAAGAAGAAGAAGAAGAAAGAAACAAATAGTCTGAATGTAAATGTTAGGAAAGGGGTTTTGGTGGGCTGAATTTTAAACATTCCGTGTATGTTCCTCCCCTTTTTGTATGTTTATACTGTTGATGCCATATTAATATGAAACAATTTGTTGCATAGTGTCCTTAATTTGTATAAATATTTGTATGCATGATATATTGTAAAGCTTGGCCTGTATTTATTGCAAACGACTGCCAGCTCCCGGGAGCCACGTTACACCAAGTGACGAAATAGTGTGTTCACACTGACTCAGTTATATAATGGGCGTGTGGGTGTGGATAGTCTCTCTCTCTGTCGCACACACATGTTATGTGTGTGCTTTTATTAACCAGTTGTATATAAAAAATCTGTCCTTTCACAAGCAAACTTTTATCTTTACTGTTTTCTTTTGCAGTGACTTTTAAGGAAGTACAATCTAGCACTTTGATATTAAAAAGTATAACTTGCTCATGTTTTGCTAACTTAAATAATATTTAAATATTTTCGTTCTTTAAAAAAAAAAATTTATATGCACTGTATTAAGTCAAGATTTCATTGGTCATTTTGCTAAGAAAAAAAAAAGAACTTTTTGAATGTTGACCTGAAGTCCCTGTATCTTTTGTTAGCTTTAAACAATCTAAGGAGTTTTATCTTTCCTTTAACAAAATGGGAGGGGGGGGGACCCACTATGCTGTTTATATGGAAATTAAATTAAATTATACAATCAAATAGATGCCAAATGAACTTTCTAATAGCAACAAAAGAATAATCCCGATCTCAAGTATGGCTTCTCTTACGTTCTTATGTTTGTAAGATTCCTGGACCCATGTTAGATTTCATGTGATCCTTCAGTCTTCCATAGAAAATTATACAATCAAATAGATGCCAAATGAACTTTCTAATAGCAACAAAAGAATAATCCCGATCTCAAGTGATTATCTGGTTCTCAAACAATTGCATAGTATTTTATCATTTATCATGTTAGGATATGCTTTTTTTAAAAAAATCTATCGATGTTGCTAATAGTGTCAGGGAAAG